TCAGGGATCACTAGCCCAAGGCCACACAGCTAGCAAAGTGCCTAAGGCTGACCTCAGCCCCGGTCTCTCGGCCCCCAAGTGCATTCTCTCTCTCCCCATTGCCCGTCCAGGCATTTCAGAGCTGGGCAGTTAGTGTGTAATACTGGATTCTTCTGTCGTTCCTGGGACCCTATGGGAGCTCGATGCACCGCAGAGCCAGAGGGGCAGCGAGGGGCTTAGCGCTCGTGGGCGATGCAGGAGGAGAGGCCGAGAGATACCCAGAGACCCCGTGGCTCTGGCTCTGCCAGCCCCGGTGCAGTCGGCAGAGGGGCGAGGCTGGGGGGGGCCGCTGCTCCCGGTGCCAGGGGCCTCTCTGTTTTCTGATGTACCTTCAGCCTGCCACTCCGTGAGGTGGGCTAGCACTCAGCGGGGGGCTGGCTTAATGACTCCCTCGGGGCCTCGAGGCTGCTCAGGCTGGCTCCAGCTGAGAGCAGCATTTACTCCTCAGATGAGGGAAACCTGAGCAGCGCTGGCTGTTTAATCCACAGGAGAGGCCGGAGCAGGCAGGGAGCTTGTGCGCCCCCTCTTTTTCCAGAAGACTCTCGGACACAGGGAAGGAAGCTTCCTGGATCACAGGGTGAGCAAGAGGCAGGGCAGGTTCCCTGGCCCTGCCGCTTCCCGGCAGCATCGGCTTGGGCCAGCCCCTTCACCACTGTGAGCCCCAGCTTCCTCCTCTGTAAGCCAGGGTCATACCTAGAGGGTGACTGTGAGGTTCTCTGTGCTGCTTCAGGTGGCACCTGGCAGGCCACTGTAATGAGTCGTGAGGATGCACAGCAAAGGAGAGGAGGTCGGGGCCGCACCGGCCCTTGGGTCCATTCTTCCCCACCCAGGGCGCGGGTCGGAGACTCAGGGCAGGGACCTTCAGGCCGAGGAGGGGGCTGAGGGCAGGTGTCTATGGCGCCGCAGAAGGACAGGGGTTTAGGGAGTGTCGGGGACCTAACATGGGAGTTACTCCACCTGCCTTGCCTTCTGAGGCCCTCAGGAGACTGCAGGTTGGGTGGGTGGCTTGTTTCTGGGAGCCGGGAAGTGCCCAGGGGATGGAGAAAGGAAGGAGGGAGGCTGAGACTCTGCCCTGCGGACCCTGTGGCCTGGGTCCCACCGGGCTATCTGTGCATGCCTGGCACCGCACCCTTCCCTCCATATGGCGGCCGCTGGAGGATGGTGGCTGTGCCTGGGAGACCTGAGACTGCTTCCTCCGCCTCGCGGAGGGGAGAAAGCAAAGCTGAGTGGGGTAATTATAGACAGCCCTGCACCAGCCCCACCCAAACCAGTTCCCTCTATTCCCAGTGTGGCTCGCAGCTGTGTGATGGGAAGGACGGAGCAGAGGCAGCTTGGGGGGATCATTGTGGGGAGGCACAGTCAGCTGTCACAGGCGCTGCCACCTGGGCTCTTCAGAAGATGCAGGGCCAGCTAGCCCCTCTGGCCCTTGTGCAGGGGTCCAAGGGAGGCCTGGTTTCTTTCCCTCAGCAAGTTTGTGGGTTTTGTCGGGGAGGCCACTCTTAGATAAGTGACATGAAGTGACCTGACCAAGGAGAGAAATCCTGTAGTAAACAATGCAGGTTTATCACATGCGGAGACAGCTTGGAAAAGCAGAGGAGCTGGGCTCTTCTTCCTTCTGCCCATTCTTTCCTTGCAGAACGCTCCTTATTATAGGGCCTAAACCCTTGTCCTGGCTTCCAGCATGGGGTCCCCTGTCCACCTCTCCAGCCTCAGTGCCTGCCACTCCCTGGACTATAGCCATCCTGGTCCCCTTCTCTTCCTTGAACTGGCCAAGTTTGTTTCTGTCTCAGGGCCTTTGCACGTGCTGTGACTGCTGCCTAGAATGTGCATCCCGCTTCACATGGATGGCTCCTTAGTCATCTTTGGGGACTAAGCTTAAATCTCACATAGACACAGCAGCTTCCCCTGAGCTGCCCATTCAGAGAAGCCCCTCGTCCCCCAGTCCCTCTGCAGTTGTCTTGCTGATGTCCTGTGTACTGAGGGTCAGGTCCTTCTCCTTTGTTTGCTACTGTTACCTGCAGTGCCTGGCACATAATAAATGCTCAGATATTTGCTCCCCAGTTGAATAAATGGCTGTGTGAATGGCTTCTCCTTCAGGATTTGCCAGGGACCCGAGCCATATTACTTTCCCCTTTGATGACTCCACTTTCATCTCTAAAGCAAGAGGCTGGAGCTCCAGAGATTCTCCTGTCATCGCCTGGTCATGGGAGTGGCCAGGACCCAAGCTTTGAGGGGAAGGAGAAGGCAGGCCTGGAGGCCTGAGCAGATGTTAATCCCTCTGGCTTTTCCACCCACAGTTAGAATCAGTGAGCCAGCACAGGGTTGGCCCAGCTTAGTCTGGGATCATAGAATTTCAGCCCAGCAGCTGACAGGCCTTGTGTTCTGAGTCCGCCCCGCCCCACTGAGCTGCGACAAGCCAGCTGAGGCTGACTCTGCTCATTGTTATCACCCGGCTTTGGGCCTCTCCGTGGTGGGACAGGCCATTTCTGCTCCTCCGGGAACCTGAGCTTTTTCAGAGAATGTCTGGGTCTGGAGAGGATTTAACTGCACCCACAAGGAAGGGAAGGATGCACTAGGGGATCCATGGGGTGGGCAGATCTGTGGTTCGGCCTGTGAGTGCACCTGACTCCTTTCAGAGAACCTTCCAGAGAAGATCCCCCAGGGGGTTTTGTAGCCTGGCCCCCAGGGACCCTTCTGAAATCTCTTCTGCCCAAAGCTTGTGAAAGTTCCTCACCTCTCCAGGGCCAGGAGTGGGTTCTGAGGAAGTCACTCCAAACAGGGGCCCCAGGCCCAAGGCGTCTTGTGCAGCTGTGGTGGGAAGATGGGGGAACCCAGCAGGGTGAGTGTGGGAGGTGTGTGTCACCACATCCCTCAGGACTGCTTCCTGGGGACAGCAGAGGGTGGGTGCAGTGTCAGCACAGCCCCAGAAGGCAGAGGGGAGACTTTTCATCGAAAGAAGCAGCTTACCTGGTGCGATTTGGATTCAGGAAGCCAGGATTCCAGTCCCAGCCACCCTGCCAGCCTGCCTTGGGGGTATTGCCTTCTGATGTTACCTGACATGGGACAAGTCACTGGTGACTGCTTCCCAAGAGGTCAGTCTAGGTCAGCTTTTTCCCTCCCAGACTCGCCTGATCATCTGAATCATCTGAAGCCATTGTTACAAATCTTGATTGCAGGCCCCACCCAGACCTGCTGAGTGAGATCTCCAGGGAGGGTGGCTCCGGGGCTCTGGTTTGATTATTATAACAAACATCTGATGTGCATCCAAAGCATGGGCAAGCTGGCCCTACCTCACCAGCAGTGCAGAGGGCAGGGGTGCTCCCCATACTGTGTCCAGAATTATGTCGGAGGCCCTCACCCTCTGTGGCTGGTGTCGGCAAGCTTCCAGGGCCGGTTGACACAGGGCCAAGGGGTAGGACAGTGAAGATGATTTATTTGTGTGGCTTTATTTTTTTTGGGGGGGGGTGGCTGGTGGGCATCCTCACAGCTTGCGGGATCTTAGTTCCCCAACCTGGGTTGAACCTGGGCCCTGGCAGTGAAAGCGCTGAGTCCTAACCACTGGAGCACCAGGGAATTCCCATTATTTTGCCATTTTAAATAATCTTGTGCTGAACATCCTTGTAGCTTCTCTGCTTAGTTTCTTTGTTTTTTCTTTTTTTCTTTTTTTTTTAGTTTATTTATATATTTTTATTTTTGGCTGCGTTGGGTCTTCGTTGCTGCGCGTGGGCTTCTCTTTGTTGCAGAGCACAGGCTCTAGGTGTGCAGGCTCAGTAGTTGTGGTGCACAGGCTTAGTTGCTCCACGGCATGTGGGATCTTCCCGGACCAGGGCTCGAACCCGTGTCCCCTGCATTGGCAGGCGGATTCTTAACCACTGCGCCACCAGGGAAGTCCCTTTGCTTAGTTTCTTAGGATAAATTGCTAGGAATGTAATTCATTGCTGGATCACAGAACCCAATGTAAATGCTAATATTTAAAATATATATATATCTTTTTTCTCGAATAGGTAAAATATGCAGACGATTTTAAAATCCAGACAGTACTAACGAGGGATATGAGTCTGTCTCCCACACCTGGCACCCAGTTCTACAGACCCCACCTTAGAGAAAAATACTGTAACTATTTTTTGTGTGTGTATTTTTCCAGAAATCTTCTATGTTTACATGTATGTTTCTGTTCTCACCCTCTTTTTCTGTTTTGTTTTAACACAAATGGGAACTTTCGGTGTACATACTTAAAAACAGTATTTCTTCATGTGTCTGTATCATTATATATCTGCCTAGTTGTGAATTGGCAGCAACACGCTTTTAGGGATGAGACATCTTCATTGGACAGCTGCAGTGTGCAAGGGACAGGGTTAGGGCATTGAGGAAAGGACAAGGTGTCCAAGGATGGACTCTTCCCCCAGAATGCTTTGCAGTCTCGTGGGGAAAAGGGATTTGCAGAGAGCCTGGGATCCAGTGGTCAGCACCGAGCATCTGAGCAGGAAGTGGAGGAGACTGTCAGAGGCAGGGCTCCTTGGGGGTGGTTGGGAAGGGCCCCCCACCACACAATGAGGGTCCAGCCCAGACCTGCCCAGCGAGGGCCTAGCCAGCCTTTGCGTGGGGGCTGGGGGCCACCAGCTCCATCTCCCTTGAGCCCGGGCAGAGGCCTGAGCTGTAGCTGGACTTGGGAAGCTGGCTTCACAGGGACATGCTGGGGCTGGGGCCACCATCCAGCGGGCGACGTAAGGACACATCTCCACTGTCGCTGGGGCAGAAGGCTTGCTTTTTCCTTTTTTGGGGGGGCCTCACTGTGCAGCATGTGGGATCTTAGTTCCCTGACCAGGGATCGAACCAGTGCCCCCTGTATTGGAAGCTCAGTCTTAATTAACTGCCAGACCCCCAGGGAAGTCCTGGCTTGCTTTCTCTTTGGTACCAGATTAGATCTTTCTCTTACCTGTTTTTCCTTTCCTTTTTCCCAGAGGCTCATCCAAAATAGAGGAAGCATGTGAAATCTACGCCAGAGCAGCAAACATGTTCAAGATGGCCAAAAACTGGAGTGGTATGTGATCCCTGCTAGAGCGCCTCCATGGCTCTTTCTCCTCTTTCCCCTCAGCTTCCAGTCCCAGAGACCTGGCTGAGGCCTCAGCCTTGCAGCTCGCCCACCAATGCCATCTCCAGCTTTACAAACCCACTGGTCTGCCATCTGGTCATTCTGAGCCCACTGGGTTATTTTACAACTTGGGTCACAGGGCCTTGGAATGAGAACTTAGAGGGTAAGGATAAATAGATTACAGATAGACCCATGTAGATTATGAGCTCTTTGAGGGGTTTCTCCTTAAATTCAGAATTTCAGGTTTCCAACAAGGACCTACTATATAGCACAGGGAACTGTATTCAATATCTTGTAATAACCTATAATGGAAAAGAATCGGAAAAAAGAATATATATACATATGTAGAATTGAATCACTGTGCTGTACACCTGAAACTAACACAATATTGTAAATCACCTATAATTCTACTAAAAAAAAAGAAAGAAAGAATCTCAGGTTTCCGTGGAAGCAGTTCCCTAATACTTCCATCAGAGTCTGAATTCTGGGCTGGGGATCATTCAAGTGGTTCCAGTAATAACATTAATCACGGCTCCATTTATTGGGCACTCTCCTAAGTACCAAGCTTGCATTATCTAACTGAATCATCACAGCAACCCCATGAGGGTCAGTACCATTAACATCCCCATTTCACAGATTTGGAAACTGAGGCTTGGCCCAGCCCTTTGCCCAACACGCCACGACTAGTGAGTGACTGAAGCAGAATTCAGAAACCAGAACTCTGACTGTGGAGCTGGAGGGCTTAACCTGCCCCATGTGGCTTCCTGACCTTTGGAGCCAGAGTGACTTGGATCTGTGTCACAGCTCAGGCTGGCCACGTGACCCCAGGGAGGTTACCTGGCCTCTCCAAAACTGTTTCCTCCTTAGCACGGCAACAGGGAAAGGAACGGTCCTGACCCTGCGGGGCTGTCATGGGGGTTCATTGAGATCAGTCGTCCCCACGCAGAGCAGTCAGCACAGCACAGTGGCAGCTGTGAGCTCCATTTCCCACTCCTATTAGCAGCACCCCTCCCTCTAGAGTGGGAGGGGAAGCCCTTAGAGGACTCCAGTCAACCGACTGGCAGACTTCAGGAGCACTTACAAGGTCCCCAGCCATCTGTGTGCTCTCACTCCAGTTGGGGCAAGACACACACACACAGACAGTATCTTAGTATACTGGAAGGGCCTCTTCCCGGAAGAGGGCATCCCAGGTCACATGCCTCCTGAGACTCTCACAGGCTGTGTTCGTGGGCAGAGTGGCCCTTCTGACTTGGCCAGGAGGGGTATGGTCAGACCCTGGCAAGGCTGGAGCTTGGGCGGCGTCCGCCAAGGAGAGGTGGGTGGGCAGGGAGGGGCTCTTTTTTTAATCTTTTGGCCGCACGGTGCGGTATGCGGGATCTCAGTTCCCAGACCAGGGATTGAACCTGTGCCCCCTGCAGTGGAAGCACAGAGTCTTAACCACTGGACCGCCAGGAAAGTCCAGGGAGGAGCTCCTGGAGGTCCAAGGGGCCAAAGATCTGTTTGGGAGCTACCTGCAGGCCTGGAAGAGAGGTTCAAAAAGCCAGCGCTCGAGCCCTTTGGGGGCTGACTTCATAACATGGCTTCAGACATCAGCAAGATTGGATCAAGAGTATCAAACAAAGACAGTGTTGAAACCCAGGGAGGAACTTTCCGACTACAAAGGAAACGAAACCTGGGATGGGGCTGTGGAGGCACAGGGCAGAATGGACTATCGTTTTCTGAGAATATTTTTGGTGTCCTGAAAATTAGAAGAGCTTTTTCCTAAGCTTTCATAGCATGTATTGTGCCTAGAGCCAGATCCTATGTGTATTTTTATGTGCTCCTAAGGTAACAATACCATTAGAGAAAGAATATTTCTGTTTCAGTCACATAGATGGTGCTTCTCTCCTAAAATTTGTCACCTCCCTCCTTCCCCCGAATATTCAAACAAAAGCCTTAGGCCTTTTTTTTTTTAACTTTTCCCCCAGTGATACTACTCCTCTGGAAAGTCTGCACTCCAGTTGGGAGCCCTTAAAAACAAGAAAGAATCATACATAGTGAAAACCTGGGTGGCTTTGTCTAGCCTCCCGCTCTAAAGGTACAGGATGGGGGCCAGGCCCTCCTGTCCTCTTCCAGCTCAGGAATTCTGTGATTCGGACTCAGCTGGAGGAGGACGAAGGGCAGGGGCCTCAGGACTGAGCTGGCATTGGCCATTGGAGCTCCCAGTTAGCACAGCCCCTACCCCTTGAGGAGGAGAGGTCAGATAGGTTAGGAGCCGGAGACATGGGAACAGGATGGCGTGGGGCGCCCGGAAGGTGGCAGTTCGCAGCTGAGTACAGGACAGCCTGGCCTTCAGCTGTGGTCTCCGCCTCCCTGCACCCATGGGCATTGGTCCCCATGCTCTCAAGTTCGTGGCTTCTCCGTCCTGTTTCCCTTTCTGGACGCGAAGCCCCTGGGGCAGTGGACATTGTGAGGCCTCCTTGCCACTCAACCTGCCGCGACTCTGGACGAGGGACCGGCACGTGGACAGAGGCAGGGGAGCCGGGGAGTTAGATTGAAATGGCTGGGGGCCGTGCGGGGAGAAGTCAGTCTTGGAAGGGGAGACGCAGTGGGGGGTCTGGGGTAGCTGTATCCTGATTGCCACTCTCTTCCCCAGTACCCCCTAGCAGCCCCATCCCATGGTTCAGCCGGCACTCTGCCGGGGATGCTGTTTCCAGGCTCCCCTGGGCCGGGGGTGCGGACAGCAGCTCCGGGGTCAGGAGGCCTGAGGTCTAGGCCTGCACCTCGGCTCACCCCGGCCACGCTCTTGCTCTCTCGGGGGCTCTGTCTGCCCCTGGAGAGCTCGACCACCTCCCCGGGCCCTGTCTGAGCGACCTAAAGCGTGGAGCCCCTGCTAAGACGGGGATCCCCCTTTTCTGTTCCAGCTGCCGGAAACGCCTTCTGCCAGGCAGCCCAGCTGCACCTGCAGCTCCAGAGCAAGCACGACGCGGCCACCTGCTTTGTGGACGCCGGCAACGCGTTCAAGAAAGCCGACCCCCAAGGTGAGGGCCTCTGTGGGCCGCTGGAGCTGGCAGCCCAGAGCGCCAGCTGAGCCCCAACCCAGAGGAGGCCTCAGGTTTCCGACCCAAGATAGTAGGCAATAGGCTGGCCTGGAGGCGCTGGCGCTCTAACTTCAGAATTGGCTCCCTTCCGGCTGGCGTTGGCATCGCGCTCCAAGCCTCCGCCTCCCCTTCTGCTCTGTGCCTGCAGCTGATCGCTCCCCTCCCCTCCTGGAGCCTGGGAGCATTTGGGAGTGGGAGTTACATTTCAGACCCACCGCATGCCAAGGAGAGAGGAAAGTCTGTTCTGTTGTCAGAATTAACATGCGAGAGGGGGTGGGAGGGGGTTCAGAGACCAGCCAGGTAGGAGTTGCTGCCGAAAAAGGAGCGGAAATTATCCTAACCTGGCTTCCCTACCCCCTGGGGGAGGGGTTGGGGTCAGAGAGAACCGGTCCCAGAGATGTAGCCGCGGAGAACAAGTTCCTCAAAATGAGAGCGCGCTGGGGGCAAGCGCAGCGAGGGACTGATTGCTGTGGGGCTCATCCTGAAGTAGAAGCGCAGCCCAGCGGCTTCCAGACTTTTGGATTTCGTGGAGCTAGAATTTTATTTCATTTTTTGCGGAACGTGGGCCTCTCACTGTTGCGGCCCCTCCCGTTGCGGAGCACAGGCTCCGGACGCGCAGGCTCAGCGGCCATGGCTCACGGGCCCAGCCGCTCCGCGGCATGTGGGATCTTCCCGGACCGGGGCACGAACCCGCGTCCCCTGTGTCGGCAGGCGGACTCTCAACCACTGCCACCAGGGAAGCCCAACAAGCTCATTTTTTTAAATGACCATCTACTATCACTATTCACTCGTAAGAGAATGGGAAATATATGAATATTAATTTCTTTTAAAGAAAGGAGATGCATCACCTTGGGATAAAGGCCTATCCTTCCCAAGAGAGGGCAGTTGTCACCAGTGCCCGGGGTTCTCTCCAAGGATCTGTGAGCACTGGTTCACACACCAGCGCTGGAGAATTGGTGGTGGATTCGTTATCTCCATCGGGACATCTAGTTCCCAGTGGAGGATTTGACGTCTGTGTGGACCAAGTAGCTGTTCTGTTCCCAGACTTGATGGTGGTTCCTGTGTAGCCGGGTGTCTCACACATGTGAGCTCAGGCTCAGCAAGAACCGAGGGGAGGCCTTGTGACTGGGTGGGCCGTCGTCGCTCTGCACAAAGCTAAGTGCACCTGACTGGCAGCGCTGGGCCACAGCAGGCCACGTGGTGATGTGATGATGACCCAGGGTGACCTTGGGTTTGTTTTCAGCTCAAATCACCCAGGGAAGTCTGTGCATCCCCCGCAGAGGGCCCCCACCCCCAGCCTGCCTTCTCTCTGGGAAACTGGTCGACCTGCAGTTGCTGCCCTAGCATCTGTGACGTTTAACTGCTGCTCCAAAGTGACTGGAAGGACTGATGTCTGGGGCGGGAGCCGAGGCCAGGCTTCAGGGCACGTGCACAGCGCCACTTGCTCTTCAAACAAGCCCCTGTGCTTCCGGGGGACAGGCCCCACCTGGTACCGTGATGTTGCGTCCTTCCCCAGCTTTTGACCTGAGCCTTTTCAGCTAGCAGCGATGCTCTGCAGGGTGTTGGGGGGGTGCTAGGGCCCGGGTCTGTGGTGTGGCCCGGTGCCTAGCCTCTGGAAGCGTGGAGGGTGGCTGAGGCGTCGGTGGGAAGGCAGCAGTGGTTAGGTGTGGTGACGTGCCCATCTTGGGGCTCAGAGGCCAACTTTGTTTCTCTAGGGATCAGATCGGCGAGCCTGGTTCTCTGCCCTGGATGCTGAGGGTGGGAAGGGGTGGATTTGGTACTGGCGGTGGCTCTCAGGGAACAGGAGGCACTGTGGCACAGGGGAGAGCCTAGTGTGGGCAGAGCCGGGAGTGGTGCCTTGGCTGGAGCTCCAGCTTCTTGGTGCTGAGCCGGGAGCGGTGTTGGAGCAGCAGCGTCCCCGCACCACCACATCTCAACTGCCCACCCCAGTCAAGGAGGGTGGGGCTCACTGTGGTCTCTGAGGCCCAGGGGAGCCTGCTCCCCTGTGACCTCGGGGAGACACCTAATATTTTGAGTCTCCATTTCCTGGTCTGGTAAAGCAGAGACCACACGTGAGATAAAGCACAGACGTGCCCAGCACAGCCCCTGGCGTGTGATAAACGTCCAGTAAGGGGCAGCCCTCGGCTCCCATCAGATGGGAGCCTGGCCTGGACACCCCCTGCCTCCACCCCTGGCCGCTTGCCGTGTGAAGCCGAGCCGGAGGGCCCACGTGGATCACTGCCCGGTTTCCCCAAGCAGGTGGCCAGCTCCCTGGGGCCTCGCTGCTTGCCTCACCTGCCTCAGAGGCCTCGCCCTGTGTCAGCACTTCGTACAGGAGTCCTGGAAACGCCCCCCTCCCCACCACTGACAGGCAGCTGAGTCTGTGCCTGGGACTGCCAGGGTGGAAGGAAGCGATTGGGCTCCCTCTGCGAGCCTGCCCTGAGTGTGGGCCGAGGGTGGCCTGCTGCCTCCTTGGTGGCTGAGGGCAGAGCGGGGAGGTGATGACTACAGCTGTCATTGGTTCCAAGCCACTGCCGGCTGCTATGGGTAGACTCAGGCCAGGGAGGCCTCTTACCCTGCCCACCTGATAGCTGGGCCCAGGGTTGCGTGTGTGCGCACACGTGCACCCAGGGCAGGGCAGTGGCCAGACCCCCACTTGCCCTCCCCCATGTGCTCCGCCAGCCTCACTGCCAGCCTCACTGGGTACCTGCTGTGTACCAGACACGTGGCGTCTTCCTTCTACCCATTCCACTTCTTCGTGGGGTTCAGTGATTTGCCCCCTTGTACTGAGGAGACCTGTCTCCCTAAGCCAGCGCCTTCCCCTCTCTGGGCCTCAGCCCTCCCTGCCCACCTTCTGGGGCTGGATCATTCCCAGAGCCCCTTTCTGGCTCCCGGTTTCTGCAGGTGGCTGGTCGGGGGCAGGTGTGCCGGGGTGCGCGGGCTGTTCACCCCCGGGGGCCTGGTGGCCGGAGATAAGCTGGTTTAGCCAGTATGTTAGCAGGTAATCTGCTAGTGCTCTGGCTGGGGTGGCGGGTGGCAGCCCGCCCCTTTCAGGGACAGCTGTCCGGGGACGAGGGGGCTCAGCCTTGTGAATCCAGTGCTGCGCGCGGGTAAGCCTCCTTCCCCTAGGGCCACCGCAAGGGCCGTCTTGCTGGTGACTCCAGGCCAGTGCCAGCAGGCCCGGGGCAGCCGCTGCAGGGGAGCCTGTCCGCCAGGGGAGCTTCCGGCCTCCCCATCCAGGGCTGCTAGCCTCACCCGGGCAACCTTTGCCACTCTGCCCGTAGATGCCCGCTTGTGCGCCCCATCGTTCCAGGAGAGGGAACCTGTGAGTCGCTTGCAGGGGGGACCTGCTGGCCGCATCCACCACCACCACCCCCCCCCCCCCCCGGGGGG